TCTCTCTCTCTCTCTCTCTCTCTCTCTCTCTCTCTCTCTCTCTCTCTCTCTCTCTCTCTCTCTCTCTCTCTCTCTCTCTCTCTCTCTCCTTTTCAATTGCTTGGTATCAGTGCATTATATATGATTCATCTGTGTGCCACATGCTGCAAACGTTTCTTTTGTCGGAAATAGGTAGTCCTAATTTCCTTCCCTCAGCACAATGCCCAGTCATCACGAATGTATACGAGTCTTGCTGCTCACTAGATGCGGTCATAATGACTAGGCGTTCTGTTCAGGGGAGGAACTTACATGTGCCAGCTTGAATATCCTATTAGGTTCGGGTCTCTGTTCAGGCAAACAATGCATAGCATCTCACTTCTGTTCTTTATGAAAGCGAACAAGTCCATGCATGTGCAAGCTCAGAAAAGGAGCCAGGTCTTGGGCTAGCAAAATAAAATAAAATGAAACAGAATATTATGTTTTCAAATCCAAGAATGATGTTCCCTAACAAAGGAGAAAGAGGAGAAAACAAAACAGAAAACTAGAAGAAGGCACTTCAAGGCAGGGTCCAATAGGCAGACTGGCAGGCCCAAACCAGATAGGCCCTGTTGCCCTGCCAGGCCAGTATGAGCTCAATGTCCCACTTTGTACAAGACACGTTATAGAGACAGGAGTGCATGGATGTTCTGATCCATGAACTACCTGCTGCTCAACGAAGAGCTATCTGTTGCTTAACCAAGAGCTACCGCTGCTTAACCAAGAGCTAGCTGCCACTTCAGCAAGAGTTACCTGCTGCTTAACCAAGAGCTACCTACTGCTTAACCAAGAACTGCATGCCGCTTATCCAAGAGCGCATGGCTCATATAGCATATGACAACAACTTGCTAGTGCAACGGTGTTTGAACTGCTTTCAAATATCCGCAAGCAGGGCACAGATTAATGGTTGAGCTTTAATGTCAGGGATTAAAAATCTGGTTATAGTAACTTGCCTGTGAGTAATGGGTCGTATACTTGTGCTTATATAAAGCAAGGAAGTGCTCTTTGGTCACGACCAGGAATGAGCAATCACAAACTGTGACACATGTTGCTGCTCTGCCTTTCAACAACAAACAAACACAATGAATGTGAACAAGTCATTAAAACAAACAAAGGGGAAACACACACACACACACACACACACACACACACACACACACACACACACACATTGTGTGGAGATCTTGTGGAGTTTGGGATTATGGCACTCTATACACTATAGGGCGACAGCAAAGTGAAATGGAGGATGTCTAGCCATGGAGTGATAGAGATGGTGGTGACCTGAGTGAGTCGTTTGGGATGAAGAGCAGTGCCAATGTCGTCGTGTTTGTGCAATTAATTTTGTATGGTCTTGTGGGCTGACTCAGAGGGCTCGCCAAGTTTTTTTGGACCTTTGGGAGATTGGGTCAGTGCTTTCTTGCTGGTGGAGTCTTCTGTTTTAGTTTGTGGTTTTGTGGGCCGACATGGAGGGCTCTCCAAGTTTTTTTGGATCTACAGCAGGGGGTCGGTGCTTTCTTGCTGGTTGAGTCTTCTGTCTTAGGTAAGTTGCCTTTGCTCTCCATCCCTTTATGGATGATGAAATATATATGTACATGTCGTCAAACAGTATATATCCTCAGTATATATTGTCAAACAGAGCTGCCCGGTAAACCATAGGCAGAGAGGGAGAAGAGGACAACAAACAAGGGGCTGTAACAAACTGTTTCGTTGGAGTTTCACCGACTCATCAGGAGGCTGATGTATATGTGCAAGTGTGCCGCTTCGGCAGCAGACGGGTGTGTGGACACTTGGCACTGAACCACACAAACGCGGCCAACCTTGCATCTTCTACTATACTGTTTCTCCATTTTTTTGTTTCATGGATGCTTTGTGATGATTCTTGGTTGGAATGAGAGAGAGAATTTGTTTTTTTTTAAACTGTTTTTTAAATACACACATTCCGGTCTTGCTAGCTCTCTGTCTTGGCAGATTTGAGTGGTTAGGATCGTGCTCGTACTAGCGAGCTATTCGTTTTTTGTGGTTGGATATGTTTTGCTGTTTGGTTTACTATACACGACCTAATTCTTTGCCCTGCTTCAGAGCATGGGCTGTCTTTTTGATAAGGAATGTCTGTGGGTGGCCACAATTTTTTTGGGGGGAGGGAATGTACGTTTGGAGCATAGCTACGATCCAGCCACCGGGACAAGGATCCGGACTGTCTGCAGTCCAGCATCCGGTTCAGGTTTCCGGGTCCTGATGGTTGGGAAATGGGGGGTAGCTCTTTTTTTTTTTTGGGCGGCCCAGGTCGTTTTCTTCCATTCTGGGCCGCCGTGGAAAAATACTGGGTGTTACGCATGGCATCCAGACAAGGCCGGACGGAGGCCCTAACTTTTCTTTTCCTGCCCGTATCTTTTTGGTATGTTGTCATTTGCAGAAGGCCCGTATCGTTGCATAGGGCCGTTACTGTGCAGTATCAGACGCCGCTGTATCTTGCCAGGAGAGGATGCCTAGTATCTTTCTGGTATGTTTTTGTCTTTCTTTTTGTTTCATGGCTTTTGAAACTTGGCCATTATAAGCAATCTTTTTTATGGGCATCCCAGGCTGCGGGCTCTTTCCCTGTGTTACAATCCTGGTCATTTCCCAAGTGCAAATTCACAATGAAAGACAATGCCACCCAATTGCGAAAGAAATGAACGCACTTGCAAAGAGATAAA